ACACAGCTAGATTAGGTGAGTGATTTTTGCAAAATGCTCGAAAGTTTCACCCCAGAAAAATGAACTCAGAAAGCTAGGGTTGCAAAGCTCTTTGAACTATGTTTTAAAACTCCTAGCTATCATCTTCAGTTGTGCAAATGGTTGATGAACTAGGTATTATATCTCCTGGTACCAGCCATCCTAAACTGTTAATCTAGCAACAATCCTTTTATATACTTTGAGTACCTTTGTAGTGAAAATATGCTCAATATCTCAGAAAGTTGTGAAGCCCTTTCAGTCCTGTTAATATTGCAATAAACAAACAATTCTAACTTCAGATGATTGAGTAGTATCTGGTTGGAGTGGGATAAGACAGTATTTTCATCTTTTAAATATACTGCCTTCTCTTCTTACTCCTGATCAAGCCAGCTTGCCAGAGAATCATCAGTCATGTGTGGACACAGCTGATCAACATGTACTATGCACTTGTGCACACCCATTGACTGCTGTAACTTGTATGTTACTGAACTGATCTGTCAAATCACAAAGTGGAGTCCATCCCAAATGGAAACAAGAGGCTTCCATGCTGCAGACATACACCAAAGCCATATCCAGTCTCCAGTTTACTACCTTTGTTCCTGCACTGTCTTATCATACCCTCTTTTCAGTTGAATGCCAACCTGTCCTAGCTGAGACATGCAAACTTGTATGTGTCCTATAACACAGACCTTAACCACTCCAAATATTCATTCTGTCTCTGTAGGATGTCTAGAGGAATATACATCACATCTACTGAAAGCAAAATTTCTTGACATTAGCATATTTGGCAAACAATCTTTTGATATCTGTTCAGTTGCATTATATGTTATCATGATGTTTATCACAGTTCTTATGATCCTGGTTAACATACTTGGCAAGCACGTGCTTGACAATCTGTATCAATCTGTTCACTAAACTGTCATAGTGAGGGGTAATAAGGTTAACTGTGTATCTTCATCACATCCAGCATTTTACACAACTCAGAGAACAGTTGACTGTTAAAGTTACCTCCCTAATCCAACTAGTTCTTTTCAGGTGTTCTGAACTAGGCTATTTAGTGCTCTATCAGTGCATTGGTCACAGGTTGTGCAGACATATCAACCAATAGATAAGCCTCAGCCTATTTAAAAAGTAACTAGCTGCAAGTATATACAGGTAACCTAATTTTGTCTCTGGGAATGGACCAGCAATATTCAGGACTATTCTCTATAGAGGAGAACCAACAGTCTTTGCTGAAGTTTACCCTGTTTAGACCAACTTTTTTCTCTGTATGTCACACACCACAAAGAGTTGATACAAGTACTGAATGTCTTGATTCTAATGTGGAAAGTGGAACTGCCATTGAACATTAGAACAAGTGTGGGTAACACCTTGTTGCCCTCCAATATTCTATTGTTTAATGTCTGGAGAATCTAGTATCTTAAAGCTCTGGGAACCACTAGCTGCTACACAAGTTAATAACAATGGAATAACTCACCTCCCTGAACTTGTAACTGCTTTTACAAGTGATGTAACTTAAATGCATCTGTGCTACATTCCTTAATCTGAGCTCATTGAACTATACCTTACTGCATGACAAGGAACACTCATATTAGACCTAAGCCCTTCAGATGCTCTCCCCAGAGTTCCTGAAGTGTTAAGTGTGGCATCCATAGTAATAATAAAAGAACACAATATCATGTACAGCTATTAGTGAAAAAAACACAGTAAATAGAACAAACTGTCAGAAATCTGACATCTGAGAAACTAGTTTCGACATATTTGAGTATCCTCTTCAGTCTCATGTTGTCTTGTGGCATCCATCCTTTATTAAAATCTACTAGTTAATGGCTTGTTATCACTACAATAGAAATGGTTTTAACTCCCATGTAATGTTTAGGATCTGAATATTCATTGCACAGACGGGATCTCACTATGCACCAAAGCATTCCAATTGCATTTTCATGACTATATATTACTCCTGTGATGCTGTTATCAATGATGCTATCATTCCTTATAGATTTTCAAACTTTCTACCATACAAGTAGTGTCAATAGTCTTCTGTGAAAACTACAACTGTAAGCAGTTTTATTTTTCTAGTACATTATCTGCATTATAGATCCATGAGCATGTGACTAGTAGATGCAGTTATATACTCTACTCTTTCCTGCAACTGTGATAACACTGCTCTAATTGCATTTTCATTGGTATTGGTATCTAACAAGATTTCATAAGAGGGGCCGTTTAACTTTCTTTATCCATATCATAAATTAGTAAATTAACAAAACTTGTCTTAATTAAAAGTGGATCAATACACTTATAATTCACTACATGTTTTATTATGCCTATCATAAGTCTGCACCAGCATTCATGTTACATTCACAGATATCCAAACACCATCAAAAAATAACCTAACTTCAAACAGAACAACACCTGAAGATAAAAAAACACAGGCATTTATATTATACCAATCCTGTGAGAAAGGTTATGTAGGTGAAACTGGAAAATATGTTGACACAATAGTTTCTGCACGTAAAAAAAAGAGACATTAAATATGGAAACACAAACAACATTATTTTTCTCCATATGAAAAATTCTGTCCTTTACATTGATTGGAAACCAACAAGACTTTTATATAAAGTGGATAACTACATAAAAAGAAGAATTGTCAAAAGTTGCTTAATCAAAAACCTGCCTAATTTCAACATCTTCTGAGATCACTTTAAGCTAAACAGCTTCCTTACCTTTCCAATATCACACAGGCATTGTTGACCACTTTACCTACCAGAAGACACCATGAGACTGAAGAAGATGCATGAATGTGTCAAAACTAGTTTCTGTAATACCAAAACTTCTGAAACATTGTTCCATTTACTATGATTTTATAAACCATGCCATCATTCAAATCACATAACAAAGCTATGTATGCTGTTTTGCCAATCTGTGGAAGTTGGTGGAATCATGATTATACAATGGCTATTAGATCAGTATATTAGCATACTACATAAACATATTGTATGATGTATTTTGGACTATGTCCCCAAAAATAAATATTCCTGGGTCTTATGTCTCCTTGCTCCTGCAAACTTGGCACTTATGTTAAAACATACTTTAGAGTTTTGAATGGTTGTTCACATTCCTTCCTACATCTGAATTGTGTTTTTTGAACTTTAGTGAGAGACAGTAATGATGTTGTGATCTTGGTGAAGTTTGCTACAAATTGTTAATATAGTATGTTGTAGAATTGTCAAAACTGTAAACTTATAACTTGGCCACAGAATGATGACAATTTGGTCTTTTTTTTATGAAGAATACTACAACTACAAGCACTTCTTTTTTCATCATACAGTATCTACACTTCTAGGCACATACCAAGATCCACCCAGCCCTGCATACCACAACAGCAAATTTTTTTTAATAGTCAGTGAGAACAGTTCCATCTTCAGTGTTCAGTGGGCTTCAATACATCTGAATACTTAATATCCTGAATGTTCCTTTGAAATGAACCTAACATTTTTATTCTAATTGGACATATTTATAAAATTTTATGGACTGATTCAAGATAAATAAAATATTGGATATTTATAATAAGGAGCTTCCGTAATGACACTTGTAGGATCAATAGGATCTTTTTATGTGTTTGATTTGTACTTCAACTCTCTTATACTCAGCCATTAAAAATATGCACATGAAATATAGTCATATTCAGTGTAATGATGTATAGTCTGACAATCTTTACATAAATTATATCTCACCAGATATTTTTTCTTATAGTCTCAAACAGCCTGCATATCCATTATTTTTTATTTGTAGCTTATTTAGATAATTTACATAATAAATAGAACATTGAAAATATTCCTTATTTGATTTTGCAGTTCCTCCTGATTTGAGTGTAACAACATCAACAAGTGTGAAGACTTGGAAAGACAATCCAGTAAACTTAACATGTTTAGCAGATGCTATTCCTAATGCTACAATTAGCTGGTGGTTGAGAAATAACGAGATTAGAAAGCAGAATAATTCTGCATTCTACACCATTCTTAGTACAGTTGCTATTAGTAAGCTTTTGGTAAGCTACAATATAATTATATTTTAATATTCATTTACATGTAAACACACAAACACATAGAAAAAATTTTTATATCATATATCACTGTTAATAGGAATTAACCTCTAATTATTTGTTTAAGAATTTTTAGAAGGACTTTTTGATAATTAGGTTTAACTGTATTCACGTATCAAGTATTTATACATTCATCTTAGTGTAGATATCATTAAATTTGAATACTTTCAACTTACTGAATTAATAATTATAACTTTGATATTGTTGCGTCAGCGAGGTCACATGACTAGTATCATGCCACGTCCTTCTAGAAATATCCTATTCCTTCATGAATGCTCTAGCGTTTACTAGATATGTGTTAGTCTTGTATATATAAGACGGTCACAAATTGACGGCAACAATGTGTGTGTAATTGAACTGAGTATTGTTGAGTCGAGCACGAGCACGTGAGACGTTTGTTGAGAATTACAGCATTTGTTATAGAGTGACTGTTGAAATTAAGTGTATCGTAAAGTTGTATTCGGAAAGAAAAAACCTGTTTTATTTAAGAAAGGACTTGTGTCACTAAAGTTTCGTTGGAACGAATTTACGGAAAATTAACTAATGACTGGAGGCATAACAAATTGGTGTCAGAGAGTGGGATGGAAAAGAAAAAAAATGGAAACGAGAAGTGGCAAATCAAACTACAGCTTAGCAGCTTTGATGGCAGCAGTACAAGAACAGCAAAAGAAACAAGAAGAACGAGAAGAGAATCAAGAAGAGAAATTACAGCAGTTCTTGGAGGAAAAAGAAAAGAAACAAGAAGAATGAGAAGAGAAATTACAGCAGTGGTTGGAGGAAAGAGAAAATAAACAAGAAGAAAGATTACAGCAGTTGTTGGAGGAAAAAGAAAAGAAACAAGAAGAGAGACAGCAGCAGTTACAAGAAAACCTGCATCAGTGGCAGCTCGAACAGCAAAATAAACAAGAAGAGAGATTACAGCAGTTGTTGGAGGAAAAAGAAAAGAAACAAGAAGAACGAGAAAATAAACAGGAAGAAAGTCTCCAACAGTTGCAGGAAAGTCAGCAGCAACTACAGAAAAGTCAACAACAGTGGCAAGAAGTACAAATGGAAAACATTAGTAAATTTAAAAGCGAAGAACTTCCCTTTGAAATAATTTCAAACCAGAGTTCTTGCTAACTAAGTATATGATTTGATTATCTAAAGTATCAGTTTTAGAATTACTTCTACAACTTCTAGTGTACAGAGAGATCCTGGGAATGTACTGTTAGCTCTCATTGATCAGCATATTAGGGCTTTAATGTGATATTGTCTGTTGATGTCTAAGTCAGGCTGTTTAATCGTCTAGTTGCTTTACTTATGGGGCATCTGCCTTTTTCTGATGTTAGTGAACATGCACAGTCTTTTGCCCAACCCTGTTTGCCTTCTTTAACTTTTATTTTCTGCTTCTGTTGGTCTTATTAACTTTTTTTTAGGTATTTACTATTTTAAATCTTAAACCAACTTCTGTCATCTGAGGGTGCTAATGTTATATCAGCAATTCTCAAACTTCAGTGACATGCTTTCAAGCCAAGCAAACCAAACACTATTCGGTTAGTTAAAATTGGCTTTCAATTCATTAATATAATGGTATTGTATTTTGAAAATTAAAAAAATCTTTGTTTCATCTGTTTTAAAGTATCCTTCATAAAGTAAAAAAAAAATTCAATCTTTGGCAATACACATAGAACTCACACCAAAACTCCCCCTCCATCACTGACTTTACCAGCAAATGTTGAGAATGAGACATGACTCATTCTACAGATACAAGTGAAGCAGTGATATGGTCTGCTTGGTTGTTGCCATGGAAATGAGACATAATTAGGCCAGGCAACAAACAAAAACCACAACTTGAAAATCAAGCATTTCATGAGGAGCATGGTCTCAGCTGATAGGTCTGATCTTTTTAAGTGAATATCAACATGCTTTGAGTGAGTTATAGTTTTGTTTATGCCTGTCAATTGCTGGTTTTGTGTTATTTTAATTTGTTTATCATTTGAAACAATTATAAAAGATACATTTAATTAATTATTATGATTGAACTTCCATTTCATTTTTTTAAACAACTGCTCACAATATATGCTGTAGTTTTGGTTCAACTTGCTCTCACATGCCTGCTCCACCCCTATGTATCATTGCTTCCTCCATCATGGTGCTCGCCACACATCACTCTCAAACCTTAATAACCCAAAGACCCCTTTTAATTTAAATTTTTTTCATGGACCCCAAACCTATCAAAATATTTTTTTGAAAAAAATTTTTTATGTACATGAAGAGCTGTATTCCAAAGTTAAATGTTTTAATTTATATAAATGTAATTTTATGAAAAACATTTTTTATTATATATATATCCTATTTTTTTAAAGTATTTTCATGAAATTTCGAATATGAATGAGTCTTGGACCCCCTGGACTACCCTTGCTGAACACGCTGAGAAATGCTGTGTTAGATAATTCAGCTTTTAAATCATTGTATCTTCGACCTTCCTGATATTTGGGTATAAACAACCCAAATTCATAGATTATCAGATGATTGTTAATTGCACCAATTAGAAAAAATAACATAAAGCCACTTGAGAATATTGCAGTATAAGTTCAAACCAAGCTTACTGGTATTATGTTACTGATCATTGCTCTGGCTTTTAATACCTGGAATGTCATGTTACAGAACCTTATTGTAAATTAGATACTGCAAAATGGCATTTCTGATTAGTGCAAGTCTGAAAATATTCATATTAAACCAATTCCAAAATCTCAAATCTATCAACTGTTCAAGATGGGGAAAAACTGACTTAAAAACCAAAGAAAAAGCAAAAGTTTAATAACCCAGCCATCTCATAATCATCAGATACTAGCCTTCCTTTATCATCCCTCAAGGGTCCTACCCCATCCTAACATTTTGTTTACCCTTAATGTATTTAAAGAAATCTTTAATGTTAATTTTTACATTTTCAGCCAACCTTTTCTCATACATCCTTTTTCATGTCCTAATTTCCTGTTTCACCAACTTTCTTGATCTTCTATAATCTTCTAACTCTCCTGTCATACCAGTCAATTTAAATTTCTTAAATTTATTATGCTTTTCTTTAATTTTAACTCTTAAACTCTTTGTGAGCCAACCTCCTTTTTTACTTGCAGCTGGCCTTTTCTTTCTATTAGGAATATGTTTACCTTGAGTATTTAAAAATTTTCTATATCTGCTCAGCATCTCCAAATAAATCAGCTGCCCAATTTACAACATATAATTCTTGTCGCATCCCTTCAAAATATGTTGTTTTTTTTAAATTTGTAACCAAAATATCATTATTCCTTATCTCCTTATGCAGCAAAACATTGAACCTAATAGAGCAATGATCACTTGCACCCAGATATTCTCCAATTTCCACCCTCTTGATAATTTCTGTATTTGAAGCTAACAATAAGTCTAAAATAGCATTGTTTTAGTTTGTTCCTTGA